CCCTACACTATTCTTTACCTCTTCCCCATATATTTTCTGTTTCCAACTTCTGTAATTATTAGTTTTGATTAGGTCCTTCTCTGCTAGGCAATGCACAAATGTATCAAGAAGGTTCCTCCCCAAGAGTACATAATCTGAACAATTTTTCCTCAAAAATATATCTTCCTACACATTCATAAATCCATTCATATCTGTTTCTTTAAACTTACCATTTAAAATGGAGAAATCTGAAAGAGCTAGTATCCAACAGACTGTTGAACTAAAATAACAGGCTCACATGCCTCTGGGAAACACGGTAGGCAGCCACATCAGTTACTGATGCTTATAACAAGGTTTCTCCCGTGGTACAGGAACAAAAAATGACATAACTAGATAATTCATAAAGTTGACTAACTTTTAGGTGTGATGATCCTTAAATTGATGTCACTCACCAGGGAAAGCTTTCTACCCCCACCTTAAGTATTTCTTTGTTGGTTAGCTTCACTTACCATGTCTTCTAGTAGCCTAGCAAAAGTTAATTTTTGTTTGTGCTACAGGTTATAAAACACTCTTGTACACAACAAAATCAGTCTAAAGCTTAAAGAAAAACACACAAAAATGAGTGTAATAAATAGAATGGACAAAGATGCTGAAGTCTAGAGGGATAAAAAAAAAGTCTCAAGTATCCTCCTTTTCTCTAATAAATTTAAACTAGATGATTTTTCAGTGTTTTAAGCAAAGCAATTATTCAAGCTTCAGAGAAAGACCGGGGGAAGAGGAAACATCACAAAGCAATCACAAAATGTGTCTACCACACCTTTATTTTTTCACTAACATCCTTGCTACAGTTTGCTAACATTCATAATGCTGCCTTAACATGTCACTTCAATCTGTCAAAGAAACTATTTATCACATGAGAAATACTCACCTGGTCTGTGTCCAAACGGCAACCATTTCTTTTGGAAATTTTTTCTTTGAGTATCTTTAAGAGATCCTGTGGAATGTGCTTTGAAGAAAGCATAACACAGTTAAACAGGTAACTGAATGAGATAATAGAACAATTACTATGCAAGGTTACAAATGTACAAGGACTGTGTGTACTGTGCTGCAAGTAAGAGGAATTTGTTGCTATGGAATGTTTTGTAAACAGATATACTTCTTAATGTGTTCTAAATGACAACTGTGTTCATTTTGAAACATGCTAGTTGGGGTATGGACACACATAGCAGAGACTAGTTTGAATGAAGTTTAAACTTGAACTAGACAGATATACAAGCCTGTTCAACCAGTTTAAAGCTGCCTGGAACAGTTCAAAAATGTATCTGGAAAATCCAGTACTATTTTGAACTAGTTTACTGTAACCTAAGTCAATGTTACGCGTGGACACCAAGTGTTCCAAGACATGGGTCTGGGCAGTCTTCCAGGCACCCCACATTGCACTGCCCCCACTGCTGTAACTGCTCTCTGATACGTAGCTAGAACCCTACTGGCCCCTTTATTTTCTCCCATTTTGTTGGCACTTTTAAAAATTCAATAAGCTCCCTTACACTCCTTTTGCAATAAAAACTTTGCTTCTAACAATCATCTATGTCCTTATTCCCTACTCAACCATGCTCTTCCAGCTGCTAGGAACCCAAAAATGTGGGTTCAAGCACTCTCTACCTGGCTCCCACTCAGGCACCCCAATTTTAGTAAGCACAGTGCAGTTTTGTCAAGTGCAGACGATTAAACTTTACTGAACTCATGTTTAGGAGAGAAGGGAAAGTAAGAACACCCCCAAGCACAGGCGACTCATTCTCTGGGATCCCCAAAGCAATGGTGCCAGCACTCTCTCCTCTTCTCCCACCACTCACTGTGAGGCATTCTGGGCTGGGTGCTCACTCACACCCCCTCCCCTACCATCAAAGCCACATCATTTCAATGCCTAAAAGGTGACGGTTCTACCTGGGATGCTAGACACTATACATGTGGACTGCTCTGACCTGCAAGAACTATGAACTGGTTCCCAACCAGTGACATTTGGAAATGGTTCAGTTGTTGTGTGCACAGATACTGATAAAAATGTACACTAAAGCTCTGAAATAAAAATCAGACATAGCTACACACTCCTCCAACTTCTCAGCACATTTTGCTCCCACAATTATTCTCAAATAAGTTACAAAACAGTACCTTATTTTCTTGCATACCACATGGCCCCAAATAAGAAACACTTTGTACTGGGAAGGCAGAATGAAGAAAAAAATTCTAGTTATGGCCACATGGAGCATACAGATGTAAATATCATTTAAAAATATTGTTTAATCTCCTCTAATTATATTGGCTAAATGATTAACTGATAACACAGCAGATGGGACACAGCAGCTGCTGGGAGCTGCTCTAGGCTCCTGGGGCCCTTTGATGGGGGAAGGGAGGGAGGAAGCAAGCCCAGCCAAACAACACAGCCCACCTGAAGCCCTGCACTGGGAGAGAGCACCTGTGAACGAGCAGCAAATTGTTTAATTGACAAGTTATTAAGCTGCCCCCTGTTTTCCTCTTACGTATGGGTACCAGTCCTCCTCACCTCTCCCCCACCCTCCTCCTCCCACCCTCCTGCCTGCCCTGCTACTTTCTGATTCTTGCTGAGGCACCATGTGGCTTCCCTTCCCTGCTAGACTGTGCCCACCCCAAGCTAAAAGATAACCAGTAAGGTAACTGGTTATCAATGCACTTATAGGTTAAATGATTAATCATTTAACCTTTCACATCCTTAATGGAGCAGGGACAGCACCTATTCTTCAGGTCACTCACCATCCCTTTTCTGCTTAGGCAAAAACTACAGCTTTAACCATCTCAAAAGCCACAGCCAAACTGGATGAAACAAAGGGTTAAAACCGTAGCTACTGCTGCTGAAGACAGGAATCTGCCTTGTCCTTCTAGCAGCCAGGGAAAGAAGCAGCAGCCATTATAGAAGTCTACATACTTCTATTCCTGGTGGGGAAAAAAATCAGCTTCCCTGTTTAAATCATGCACCCTGATTTTGAAGGATAATCTGGGGGAAAGTTGTGTGTGGTATGTGAGAAAATATGATACACAGCTATCCATAAGACTGAATGTGCAATGCTCCTTGCACACAATTCTGAAGTCAAACTACCTCATGCCCACACAGCACATCTCTTTTGGTAAATTATACCTTTATTTTATAATATAAGAGAACAACTAATTGACAAATGGTAATGATTACTCTGATGCATTCCAGAGAGATAAATAAAAATTCTAACTTCAGGAATCCAAGCAGTTGTAAAGTAATGAGCTGAAACTAATGATAAAAGAAATGGCTGTGAACAAGATGGCTGCAAGGCAATGTGAGCACAGGAAGGAGATACTGAGAGGTGAAAAGGTTAGTTATGCTGTAGTAGAAGCATAAGCATGACATACTGTAAGATCTTCAAAATACTTAATTTTGTAAGAAAAAAGAGACTATTTCTCCCACACTTACATCTTTGGGATCAGAGGAGGGAAACTTGAACAGACAAAAGAAAGTAGGTTAATTTGAAATGAAGGAAAGAAGCTGCGAAGAACTGTCCCAAACCAGAAATATTAATCCTTAATATTTTACGTAGAATAGTCAGAACAGGAACCTAAATTGAATCAGACTGAGTTGGGAGAATCTGGCAGGATAAAACCTCCAGAAGCCAGTAATGTACAGACTAAGGGAGAGATAATTAAAGGAGGTAATGAAAACCATCCAGAAACAAATTTTAAGTATAAAAAAAAAATCTTAGCTCTAACAGATGCAGTAGTTCAAGTAACAGAAAGAAATTTGGAAAGCACTAAACTGGCAGAAGAATGCTTAATTACAAAAATCAGTATTTTAACAATGGCATTAAAAGTAATGTTTAAAATTTAACTTAAAGCCACTTACTTTCTTGGTTATCTTCAAAGATTTCTTCTATTATTACATCAGGACTAGATAACATTTGAGGTGAAGCATGTGGAATCTGAGAGGGTATTGTACCCAGTTCTTGTATCTGGATATTATTTACTTCTGGATGCACACTCCCAAGTGTTCCATATCTTAGAGTCTCCGTTCCATTACTTTTGATCAGTGTTGGAAGCTTATGTGTTTCTACACACAAGTAAGTGTTACAGTCTGATATTTCTCCCTTATCACTGAACATCAGAATGGACTGTCCATTGTCTTCACTTTTTCCAGGGCAACATCTGTTTGGAGAAATAACTTTTTCAGCTTTCTTTTTACAGAAGACTACCAGTAAAAAGAATTATTATTCTGAGCTATCATTATACTATGAAAGACACTAAGATTTTGTCTGTCTCGAAGGTTGATATTTTAAAATAGTTTTAATGCTTTAAAAGCGATAAAAAGCAATTTTCCAAAAGATCATAGTGCCTGTGATCCCCTAGTACAGGGGTAGCCAACTTGCAACATGCATGCTACAAGTGGCAGAGGCATACCTCTGTGTGCAGCATGCAACAGATCAGGGAAGGGACAGGCAGCAGTCCAACAGATAGGGCAGAAAGCTGAAAGCAGAACAGAACATCAGGCAGGAAGCATATGGCAGGGAACAGAAAGTGGAGCAGCAGACTGTCATTCTGATCCCCTTCTGTTGCCCACTCTGGGAGAGTGCTGGGCTAATTTCCACAACATCTGCCAAAAAGGTTGGCCCCAGTGCCCTAGTTGATGCCACGGTAACTTAATGAAGGGGTGTCAAACTTGTGCTTCAGGCCAGATCCACATCCTGGTGCTCCTTGTGAGCTGGCTCCAGCTAGGGACATGAGGAAGCAGCGATGGTGGTGGCTCCAGCTCTGGTTCTGACCTGGAGCATGTGGTGTCAGCAGTTCTGGCTTTGGCCCGGAGTATCTGGCAACAGAGGCACCAGCTCCAGCTCTGATCTGGAGCACAGGGCTGGGGAGGTAGGGCCAGGGCAGGGTGATAGGCAAAGTGTTGGAGGGCAACCAGGGCTGTATTAGTTCTTGTTGGTCCTTCTGCGGCTGATTGCCAAGTCCACTGGGATTTGAGGGCCCCAGATTCTGTGATAGTCCATGCTCACTCGACCATGCCCGCCAACTTCCAATGGCTTGCTAGTACCCTGATGGGCCAGATATACTGCCCACAGACCTATTCTGTTTGACATCTCTGATTAAAAGCAACCATTTTATTAAATTCAAGAGACCACCACTACTTGACTGCAACTTCTTATCCTAAAACACACTTCCCAACATGCTCCATAAAAACCTTCTCTCAACATTTCTCCCACAAAGGTTAGGGAAATGCAGGGGAACATAGACTTCTGCAGTATACTATTTCAGACTGGGATGAACCCTTAAATCTATTTGCACCCTGTAGACAGAAACTGTTGGCAGAACTTATTTTTAAATAACACAAAGGAAACTTCTATACAATTGTTTCCACAAACAGCAATTACAGTATTATAGCATTTAAATGTGAAGCATTTCAGAAGAGCAGATCTTAATTTATTTCCTTCTAGAAAGCTCAGAATCAGGGAATTACACACATACATGTGTATAGTAGAATAGGGTTGAATACAGTAAGACTTTCCTATAGCACAAACTTGAATTTTTTGGCCAGACCAGTTTTAAATGAGTCAGATGACGTACTGTTGCTACTCCCTTGGGAGATTATTTCTTGGTCTAAAGGCCTTATTTCTGCTGGAAATTTGCCCAAATTTCTGAAGTTAGCAGCCAGATCCCCACACAACTGCACCAGTACAAGATATTGGAATAGAAATATGCTGAGTTTTGGAGGGTTTTTTTTAGGGTTGGTTAGAGAGGTGTCCCTTTTTGTAAATTGTGGTTTCCTAGATTGTATTTGCTGCATTAGTACCACCTGAAACTGGCTGGAATAGAAGAAAATTTGCATTTTAGATAGCATGCAACAGACCTGGGGAAGATGGGCAGGGAGATTAATACAATAACAAGATAACCATCCAAACAATCAACCTAAAAATCAACTGAGTATTTCTTTTTATGTTATCTAGTTATTCTTACGGTATATGCATCAAAAACATTCTTATTCCTGCATGACATAGCCTTTAAAAAAGGTGGTCCCCATTAAGCAAAGTCAAGCTATGTCTGCAAGCATTTGACATTCTTAATATTCTCTAATAAGTAAACTACTTTTAGTATCACAATCTTTTCCTTGCTTTTCTCTAAACTCCTTTCAGCTTCTTCCCAGTATCAAGTGGTCTATGAAAGCAGTATTCTAAGTAAAGTTTGGGTACGGAATTAAAGAGCAGATGACTGGCTGTTTAATATATTACTTCTGCATATGTACTATAAGTGTCTATATACTTGATCTGAGCCTTCAAGAGGCCAAGAAGCAAAAAACAAACAAAACAAACAAAAAAACAGAGCAGTGGTTCTCAATCTTTTTGGATTGAGGCACCCATCTATAAAGTTCTGTGAACTGAGTGGCACCCAATTTTAAAAACTAGTTTACTATATTGCAGTGCTCACTTTTTTTCAGAGGAGCCAGGTACTGAGGGTGGGAGACTGGCCAGGCAAGAACAAGCCTGAGTCTGCACTTACTTGTTTATCTCACATTTCACAACACTCTTTACAGTATCTCACAGCACCCCAGTGTGACACAGTACCCTGGCTAAGAATCACTGTTACAGAAAGCCACCTTATGTCTTTTACTGCCACCCTGTCCCAAACCTCCTCTCTCCATTTATATCAGAATTTGATATTCAATTTGGTATTTAGTAAGATCATAAGAACATAAGAAATGTCATGCTAGGTTAGACCAATGGTTCATCTAACCCTATATCCTATTTCTGACAGTGGCAGAAGTGGATGCTGTAGAGAGAGCGGCAGTGCTCAATCTTTTTGCAAGATCTGACTGGTGGTCTAATCTGGCAGGTGCAGGGGGAAGGGGGGAGCCTGGACCTGATCTAGCTGTGCAGAAGGGGGCATAGCTTGGCCCCAACCTAGGCACTTAGGGGGAAGGGAGCATGACTCAGCCCCGACCTAAATGCATGGCTAGATGGGGTGTGGTCCAGCTCTGACCTGCCATAGGGGTCAGGAATTGAAAATCCAGCAGTGAGGGAAGTTGGTGGCATTAACTGCCATCACTAACTGCCATCACTCCCCCTGCTAAGTTTCCAAACCTGTGGGGGTCTTGTGAAGTACCTGTCATGGCTCTGTGGGCTGGATTCAGAGAAATGTGCACGTAGTAAATTTAATAGCATCCTGAACATTCAACCCTGGTTTGTCACTAATATAGTGTTCAGCATAAGGAAATCCCTCTATTAGTTTTCTAAGGTAAAAAAAATTTCTAAGGCACAAAAAATAAAAGAAAAGATTCAATGCTCCAGAAATATTTTAGGAAATAGGAAATATTTTAACCTATAAAGTCCTAGGTCCTATTTGGGTGAAACATGAATGACTGAATGCCAACCTATGATTTCTAGTTGCATTGGTACCCGTTAGAGTTAAAATTGGTAAGCATACATTAGGAACTTTTGCAAAGTGTTCAGCAACTAGAAGAATGCTGAAATAAATGTATATGTCCTTTATTAATGAAAAAGAAAATGCTTACTTTGTAGGTTTTTCCCACTGAAACGTTCCTATATTTTTGAAAACAGATGTAATCTCATCACAATTTATGAGAAACCTAAAATAAAGAAAAGCGTAGAGGTCACAAAAGTCTCAGTCAATGAGGCAATTTACAGAAGTGCTTACAAATCATTTAGAATGATCATGCAGTACATCATGCAATGTGGAAAAATAAAATGAGCTAAGTTTTCCAGTTTAGTTACTCCAAATTTAAAGAAGAAAACTACTGGAGACATTGAGAAAAGCTCACTAGCAGCATGTTTCGTTTCTTATTTAGATTTACATTAAAAAAAACCCTATATTACATAATTCCCCCCCACTATTGCAACGTTAGTTCTGCATCTATGAGTTGAGTTTCTATGTCAACACTTAACCTTATCCAACATTCCCTAGGGAAGCAAAAACATAAATACAGCCTCCAACAAAACCTGGACAGCAACATTTTTCTTTGTTCCTACTTTTCTTGCATCAGTAAAGGCTATTTTTCTTCCTCCTAGTAAAAACTAGTGAATTAATTCAGAAAAACAAATCCAAGTACCTTTTTATCCTTTCCTTTTCCAGCTACTCTACAAGTTATCCATATATGGTAAAAGCAGGGATCTGGGTTGTCCACTTGCTGTGGAAAAATACAGATTTTCTCCTTTAAAAAGTCCCTCGACTTCAGGAGGGCTGACTTTGACAAGCTCAGGAGACGTGTCGGTGAGGCTCTAAGGGACCACGACCCCAAGCGGAGGGGAGTCCAGGAAGAATGGTTGCTCCTCAAGGGAGTGATCCTAGATGCACAATCTACAGCTATTCCATCTCGGAGGTAAGGCAGCAAGAGGGCACAGCAGCCCCCTTGGCTCAACAAGGAACTAGCGGACCTCCTGCGTCTAAAAAGACAGACCTACAAAGGTTGGAGGACAGGATCTACCTCCAAGGAGGAATATACTGCACTGGTCCAGACCTGCAGGGAGCGAACGAGGAAAGCCAAGGCTACCACAGAACTCCAACCGGCTACAAGTAGCAAGGACAATAAAAAGTCCTTTTTTAGATACGTGGGGAGCCAGAGGAAAAGCAAGGGCAACATTGGACCCCTGCTAAACCACATGGGAGAACTGACGACTGACACCCAGGAAAAAGCCAACTTACTAAATGGGTACTTTGTGTCGGTCTTTCACAAGTCTCATGGGACGCTCCTGCCCATTACAGGACAGGGATGCGTGAGTGAGGGTGGTTCCTTGCCCTCCATCAATGCTGACCTCGTGAAGGAACACCTTGTGAGGCTGGACACCTACAAGTCAACCAGCCCTGACAGCTTACACCCCAGGGTACTCAAGGAGCTGGCCTGCATCATAGCTCAGCCCCTGGCACAGATACTCAAGAGCTTCTGGCGCTCTGGTGAAGTGCCCGATGATTGGAAGAAGGCCTATCTTCAAGAAATAGAGGAAAGTGGATTTGGCAAACTACAGGCCCATCAGCCTGACCTCTATCCCAGGGAAGGTCTTAGAAACGCTGTGAACGTTTAGAAAAGCTGTGACGGAGGAAGACAGTGCAAAGGCCTCCAGAGGGGACGATGCCACTCCCCACACGACAAGGACTGGGCGGAGATCAAACACCAGCAGGAAGAAACGCCGAGTCCTCGTCATCGGAGATTCCATCCTACGAGGGCTGGAAGGTCCCATCTGCTGGCCTGACCCCATGACGCGGGAGGTCTGCTTCATGCCTGGGGCTTGGGTTCGGGACATCACGGAGAGGATCCCGGCCTACATCCGACCTGCAGACCAGTACCCCATGGTGGTCATCCACGTGGGAACAAATGACGCAGCCAGGGGAAACCCTGACAGCATTATGAAGTACTTCGAGGCTCTGGGGGCCAAGTTAAGGAGACGGGGGCGCAGGTGGTATTCTCTTCTCTCCTTTCGGTGAGTAGGCAGGGACAGCGACACGAGGCCTACATTGGCGAGGTCAACTGGTGCTTATGGAGTTGGTGCCGCCAGGCAGGCCTTTGGTTCCTAGATAACGACCCATGCTTTCAGGCGGGGGACTTGCTGGGGCGGGATGGGATTCACCTCTCTCCTAAAGGCAAGTGTGTCTTCTCTTTCAGGTTGGCTGATCTCGTATGGCGAGCTTTAAACTAGCCTTGCCGGGGGAAGGGGCCGCAGGAAGACGAGGAGACGCCACCTGAGCAAGACAGGTGACAAGTGCAAGGAGTGCCCAGGTAAGAAACAGGGGTCCGGATAGTCCTCCTAATCGGGGGGTGGCAGGCACAGCTATGCAAGGCCTTAAGTGCCTGTATACCAATGCTTGGAGTATGAGGAACAAACAGGAGGAATTCGCCCTCAGAATAGCCAGTTCAAACCTAGATATAGTGGGGCTTACAGAAACGTGGTGGGATTCATCCCACGACTGGGCAGTTAGCATTAAGGGATATAGGCTCTACAGGCGGGATAGAGAAAGAAGGAAGGGAGGGGGGGTGACACTCTATGTCAAAGAGCAATACACATCTTCTGCCAGTAAAATGGGGTCAGAGGAGGGGCAAGCTGAAGTGCTCTGGGTCAAGATACAAAGGGGTTGTGGGGAGAGGGATTTAATGGTGGGGGTCTACTACAGACTCCCCAGCCAAGGGGAAGAGCTGGACTGGGAATATTCGGGCCAGCTTGCAGAGGCACTTAAGGCAAGCGATGCAGTTGTCATGGGTGATCAAAATTACCCGGACATTTGCTGGGAGGAGCAGTCAGCCAGGTCGGACTGTTCCAGGAGGTTCCTGGCCGAGATACAGGACCTCCACTTAACACAGGAGGTGCACAATCCCACCAGAGGAAATGCCCTGTTGGACCTGGTCCTGGCCACAGGTGATGATCTGGCAAGGGGGCTCCAGGTGCTATCATTGCTGGCTGGAATTCATCATCCAGTGCAGGGTGTCAAGGGCCTGCAGCAAGGTGGTAGCCCTAAACTTCAAGAGGGCCAACTTCAAAGAGTTGAGGAGATTGGTGGGAGAGGCGCTGGGGTTCTCGAGGGCAGGGGAACTCAGTGCCCAAGATGAGTGGTCGTTCCTTAAGGAGACGATACTCGGGGCCCAAGGGGTGACAATCTCAACAAGAAGCAAGGGGGCAAGAATGCCTGAAAGCCTCCCTGGCTCACGGAGGAAGTCTGGGAATGCCTGGTTGCCAAAAAGGTGGCGTACACCCGGGAGAAAGAGGGGCGCTATCTCCAAAGAAGAGTATACCTCCACTGCTCGGGGCTGTAGGGGGGCTGTTAGGAAAGCTAAGGCGGACATAGAGCTAGGACTAGCGTCCAAGATCAAAGATAATAAAAAGTCCTTTTTCAAATATATAGGGAGGATGAAGAAGGC